AATTCATAACAAAAGGAGAGATCACTGTTTCTTTTTATCATATTTAATGATTAATTATATAAGAAAATTGTTTAAATTTCTTTAAATACTTAAATATACTTACGATAATGTCAGATGATCTTGAATTATCCATTAGAGCTAGCTTAGTTAACTCTTTAATATAGATAAACGTTAAAATATTAACCAATAGTAATTCTTTCTACTAATGACATTGATCCACTTTAGTACCAGCAACATTCGATGATAAATCATGTTTCTTAATCGTCAACCTCAATGTAATTATCTTTGCTATATTAATGCGAAGATTAACGTCGTTCAGTTAACATCTGGCTCTTCCCCTGCGAAACGTACTTCACTGCGATACAATTCTGTTTTGACAAGAAGGCGGTTCAAATTGTTCAAAATTTGACTGTTTTCGATTAAATTATTCACTTTAACGGGGTTTTACCAAGTGTCTTTAACCCGAAGATCGTATAGTTAAATGTTCCGAACCCCTTTATAATGTAGATAAATAGATTTTTCGCTGTTTTCACTGCTTCTTAATGCCTACCTGAAGGGAATAAAATTGTTTAAACCAACGTCACCACGACAAAATATGAAACTCTTGAATGATAAGCACAGGTGCAGTTTATGTAGAGGTATAAAAATCCACCTGGTACTGAAAGAAACGGTTTATTTTGAATTAATGGTAAATTTTAATAGACGTCTGCATAAACAGGACTATTTCGATAAGAGTCTAGACAGTCATTAACTTAAGTTTTTTAGAAAATTTAAAGTATAAAATTCCCAAAATATAACCTTTAAAAAAAATTTATATCTACTTAAACAATAATTGGATTAGTCGATGAAAACAAGAAGAAATAAAATCGATAAAAGTCTCACCCGTGACCGAATTGCTCACGAAATCGATACAAGAATTTCATTTGTTTATCTCAAACCACGTGATAGTCTTTGTTTGTATGCAGGGTCGATTTTGGGAAGGTTTGAGAGAGTTTTTTTTTCTTTTATAAACATTACCTGCATCGAAAAAAAGAAAAATCTGTACACTTCACTCAACGTTATTATAATCGAAACAGGGGAATGAATGTGTGTTTTTTTTGCGAAAAATAAAGATATTTATTAAGAAAATGTTATAATAATTACAAAGTTTCAAGAGTTTTAACTCCGCGAGTAGCCATTTTTAAATGGTTATGCAGTAAAATCAGCTAGGAATGCTCTGGGATGCAGCAGTATAGAAGTAATGAAATTCGGCTTTCTTGCATAACATCTATCCGACCTTCCTATCTTTAGTCCTTGAACTAAATAACTCCTCCATTTACCCTCATCGTTACAGTAAAAGAAAAAGTAGTTTAAAGCGTTACTCACCCACATCAAGCAACTGCAAAACGTTTCCGACTTCCTCTCTCTACCACACTCCATCTTTGTCGAGCGAACTTCCTTTTAATAAAAGATGCTAAACATAACCATGTTGTATAGCTGTTTGTATTGGAGACCTCACGCAGCCTGGGCTTAGATGGCTAGTTCAATGAGCATGCGTACAAATACGCGATGTTGTATCTACGGAAGACGGGTTGGTCCCGCACCTCCCGTGTTTCTATCACCATCTCTCTTCCCCCCTTTTTGCGTATATATAAATTTATGCTAATTCCTCCTCCCTAGCCGAGATTTATTACATACGCGAGATGTTATTAAGCACAGTTATCTTCTAAAAAAAAACGTGTTAAACTTTAAAACACACCACCCCAATTCTCTCCCCCTTGAACAAAAGATTCTGAAAGATCGATCGTGTTCGATATTCCGGATGATGAATCATCACCATTGCTTCAAATGATGCATAGATTTTCAAGTTATTAATTCTAGAATCGATCTAATTTATTGGAAACAGCATAAAAAAACGAAAGTATAGAATCTTTTTATATTGTATTTAACAAACTCCCTCCCCCTCTTTACTAGATTCTAGATTTTTTTTATATTAAATTTTCTTCCGAGTTTATAGCTCTCGAGGGAGTATTTTATTCCGCATCATCAAGAAAAAATAAAATAAAATAAATCGTTATCAAGATGCGAAACACGATCAACAGTAAATGATGCGGAACGGATAAGAAAGGATCATAAACTAGACCTTTTTTTTGTAGATCTACATCATATTTAATGCTTATAGAGAAAAAATTCATTTACTTACCACCCGATCTTAACGACGTACATCTAAATAATTCCCTCCTTTAGACGTTTAAAACGTTTTTTCACTCATTTATCAACTTAAATTTCTCTTTATATACTAACAGAGTTGACGTCATTTTGGTCATAATTAAACAACACAAGGTCTGTTCAATCAGCAATTTATATTTTACGGTTGGTCAGTAACGTTAACTAAAAATACTTTTTATCACCTCTTCCATATTATCTCGACCCTCCTGTATATAAAAAAGAATGTGTAAAAATACGAAGCAACCCCCCCTAAAAATTCTATCCTCTTCAAACACTTTTTACGACGGATACGCAAAGTTTTCAAGGTTATAAAAATATACAGAAATAAAGTTTATATACTAGATTTTTATTTACTCAAACCAAAAATTTACTGACAATTTATCGGGTCGATAGATTTAGGGTACAAAAAAATAAGGTAAAGTAAAGGTAAATAAGGTAAAGTAGCATGAAAAGTGGGTAGACCATTATCTTCTCCCGCAGAGGATAACGTTACGAAAGTAACGATCTAGATTTATGATAGTGTTTTACATCATCTAACGATTTATTTTATTTTATTTTTTTAAATTAAAATACAATTTTTACAACCATAAATAAGTAAAACGTAACCAGCTTTAAGCTACGTAAAATATAAAATATTTATGAATATTTACAAGACCAAGGTCGATATTATTTTAATGAGTTACTCACCAATGTATATATTTCTCCATTTTTTTTTTTTTTTATTATTATTATTTTTGATTTTCGTAACATGACCTTGTATACGCTACGATATTTTCTATAGAAAAATAATATATCTAGTAACCAGTTTAAGAATATTTTTCGACGATGTAATTATAATTCTTTTACCATAATTAAATATTTTAGTTTAAGACAGCTGAATAATTTAAGAAAAACACACACACACACATACAAAAAAATAGTCTTGTCTCTGTTAACTTAATTAGAATTGCTTTATTAAACTTACCTCTTTTTTTTTTAATTGATTAAAGCTACAGAATTGCTTTAAAAAATAAATAAAATAAATATATTTAGTCAAATTATTTTTCTAAATTTTAATATAAATTTATCTTAAATTTCTCTAAACAAAATAAATACTTTTATATTTAATATTTAGATTATAAAAAGCTTACAAGTCTAAACTGTTGGAAACCCCCCCAAAAAAACTATTCGAAGGGCCAAAACTTCACAAAAAAAAATAGTTTAAGGAACGATGACTATCTAAAAAATTTCATGGGAAAAAAAAATTCAGTTAGAACGTGACATCGGGAGGGGTCAGAATTGGTATATATCATCACCCCGCATTTAGAAATGGGAGATGCTTTCGTTTAAACCACGTATAGAATTGATAACTTTTAGTTATAGTGAGGACCTTAAGGGAGATTTTGTGACAGGATCCAGACATCCGTAGAAAATTTCTAAAGATTGATAACCAGAAAAACNACGAAAATTTGCATACAAAAGTTTAAATTCGTTAAATTATCGTCTTTTTTTTTTAAATTTTGCTTTGATTTTTGTATAAATTTTCTAATTTTTGCTTAAATTTGCATCAAGATTTCGAATTTTTATACAGAAATTTTGCTATAATTCAGCCATTTTTTTTCATATTTATTTGTCTTATACATAAAAGTACCGCGTTATGTAACATATTTTATGTTTTTTTAAAGATTCAAAATACCATAACGTCGTATAAACAGTACATATATATATAGCTGTTAAAGTCTTTATTAGCCATTAAACATTGCAGTTAATTTTCGATCGATTTTCCTGTTAAGAAAGCGAAAATAGCAAAGTTAAAAGGAAATTTTATATGTGGAGAAACAATAGGAGGCCCATCATTAAAGTACTATTTAAAATTAAATCTTTGTTCTGATATTTGACCCCCTGCTACCAATTGGCCAAGGACTGATTTCTCTGGCCTTTGCTCTATAATGACCCACATTTAACGTTTAAAAACAATGAAAAACATTAAAATCTTCTTTAAAAACATAAAAGAAAGAATCTTCTATAAGAAATCCATAAAGTTTTGTATATTTTTTTAGAAAATAAGCTTTGAATTGTAAACATTCTATCATCTGACACGCACCTGAATTATCATATTTAATCCCATAGTTTAAGTAATACTAAAGGAATTGGTGTAGTGTACTAAGGATTAAATTCTTTCTAAATTTATCTAAGAGCAATAAATTAACTTTCAAAAAATATATTTAACGTGAAACAGTGCCAAAAATTAATTCTAAAAATTAGTAGAATGTAATGCAAAAATATACTTAAAAATCAGTGAAAAGTGTATCTAAAATTAATAGAATTTAATGCTAAAATATATCTAAAAGTTGACAAAATGTAATGCAAAAGACCCCCTAAAAATTATTTAAAATGAGTAGAATTTAAAGCCAAAAAAAATGTCCTAAAATTAGCAGAAATTAACGCAAAACATTCTAAAAATTAGTAGAAATTAATGACAGAAAATCCTTAAAAGACTAAAATTTAAAACAAAAATCCCAAAAATTAATAGCAATTAATTCCAAAAGTCCTTAAAATTAACAGAAATTAACGCAAAAAATTCCCCAAATTAGTAGTAGAAACCAACGAAAAAAATTCTTAATGAATAAAATTTAAGATAAAAATCCCTAAAAACAGTAAAATTTAAGGCAAAAATCCAAAAGATTAATAGCAATTACTTCCAAAAGTCCTTAAAATTAGCAGAAATTAACGCAAAAAATTCCCCAAATTAGTAGTAGAAACCAACGAAAAAAATTCTTAATGAATAAAATTTAAGATAAAAATCCCTAAAACAGTAAAATTTAAGGCAAAAATCCCAAAAATTAATAGGAATTAATTTCAAAAGTCCTTAANTTTATTAAACTTACCTCTTTTTTTTTTAATCTTGACTTTAAGTAATATAAGTATATTTATGGCTTATATCATAATAAATAATGTCTTAAACAGTGAAGTAATCTATTTTATATATTATTTTCATGTGGAGTAATTTATCATAGGTCATAGAGTCAGTACGATTGTGACAGTTATTACC